ATCTTTTGTAATTAATTTATATAAATATTATAAAAGTTGACATTTATTTTAACATTATTAACACCTAAATGATTTTGATTGGTTAATTGATTTAAAATCAATACTTATCCTTTTAATGTAAATTAATTATAAAAAAAATATATTAATTATATTTTTTAACATGTGTCTTAAGAACAAATGCTACAAAAACCCTTAAAAAAAAAAAAAAAAAACCTTCCATGTCATGTTCTACATTGTTAATTGTAAGTAGATGATTTTTATTTAATGCAATAGCTGTTTTAGTGAGAAAACAAAGTGTTTTAATGCGAAAACAAAGCGTTTTAGTTTAGAAAAATGAGACAACAATAAATATTTAGCAACCGTATCAGAATGGTCAACTATATTATTAATGGTTCTAATCGCAAGTCGCAAGTCGCAATAATCTTCGAATATCATATTTGTGCTGATTATGTGCCACGACAATAGGTGAATATCATATTAGTATAGAGTATGGTATTGTGTGGCGTCTTTCCAAGAAATCACTTAGTTATGTGCGACAACGTCAATTGTCATTAATGGGTCTTAATTTTTAACCACGGTTTTCACTACTAACTTTTTGACTTCCAAGGGCGGCTTAATTGACTGCCGCAACAATTCAACAACAGGAGAGACTGAGGTTATTGTTATAAAATATTTTTGTTAAGATTATCAATTTTAATTGTAATTTTATTAATCTATAATTTTTAATCAATTAATTATAATATTTAAAAATATTTATTTATAGCCAAAAGGTACAAATTTTTCTTTAAAATTATTTTGTTGAAGTAAATTCTCATCCAAAGAAAATGTTAATGAAATTTGTTATCCCAAATTTCTATTTTTAAAAACTCAACTCAAATTTAACGATAAATTGTAAACTTTTCGTTAGGCTTCAAAAGCAATTATTTAATGAAATTTAACAAAAACAGTTAAATTCAAGCCTATTTCTTAAAAATAAAAATTTTTAGTAAATTTTGTCAATATTTTTTTTTTGATAATTTACTTAAACGTGAAAATTTTAAAAGACAATTTATATATTTCACAACTGTTTATAAATTAATTTCAATTATTAAATAATAAAGAATAAGAAAAAATTAAGACACCTTAATATTTTAAATGTCAAACATTTAATTACAATCATTAAACATACCATATATAATGTGAACTTTATTTATATCAAATTTATCTTATCATTATTATTAAACATCCTAACATTTTAAATGTAAACACACCTTGATTTTTTTTTAATAATAAATATTAATTATTTTATCAATTATTAATTATTTTCAACAATCAAATTAAAATAAAAATTTTATCAATTTTAATAATTTTAACAAAATTAATACTAACCATAACAATTGCTATGAGTATCCTTTTTCTGCACTGACTTGGTCTAGAATGGAGCCACATGGAAAAATAATCTAGATATTTCCACGCTGATATTAAGAACACATAAATTTACGACCAACGTTTGCTCACATAGAAGTTTATGCCAAGCATAATGTCAGGAAATATTCAAGGTATCTTATAAATTACAGGACAGCAAGCAAATTGCTAAATCACATAACAATGATTCTGCTGCTACATCCGTGTGCTCTAAGTACCATCGCAGTGAAGTCCCATGGTTTCCTATCATACTATTGCTCACACTAGTATGCTGATCACACACAATCTTTACCATAATAAGCTTTCATGGATCACAAAATGCAGAAAAAGAATGCTAAACAGTCTGCGTTTGCAACAACTAATGAGAGCATAGAACACTTATAACATTCAATGCCCCATTTTCCATTCTAATGTTTCAACTTCTTGACCATTCTGTCCTCAATAGTCAAGAGACCCCATGGATGCAACTCCATTGCCTAAAATTCTCGACTCCTGTCTGCTTGGATAGTCTTCACAATGGTTGTTTCTATTCGTGAGATTTTGACTTGGGACAGATGAGGCAGGATTTAGGCCTTCTTTACCCATTTGATGCACTTCAAGTGGAGATAGTATCTTGATATACCCCACACTATTTACAAACTCCCTGCCAAGTTCAATCATTGAAGTCAATGAACATATTTGAAAGAATAGACTGCAAACAGTTTACCAATTGATTGATGGTGTCTAAAACATTCGCCTGTAGAAGCAGAATTGCAGACCATTTTGACGAATATAAAAGCTTCAAAGTTGTCAATTAATTCATGATCAATGCCAGGACAACATCATAACACACGAAACAACTAGTAAAGATTTGAAAGAACTATTGTCAAAGGAAAATCTGAGACTTTGGTTTCAAACTTACCGCCATGGGTCATCACCAAGGAGAAGCACATCATTCTCCCGGTCAACAAATACAAGCTGCCAGCCTGATCTCTGAGGGTCCTCCAATTGGCCTTCAAGGCCAAACATGCGAGCAAGCTCACTGCGCAGCTCATCATAGCCGCTGAACTTGGAAATATCCAGTGACCGACCAAAGGACCCTGACTTGTGAACCTGTCAAGAGCCATGTGGTGAGTAGCCCTAGACACTCGACACTCGTGAAGAGAAACAGTCCAATTAACAGAAAGATAACGCACACAAAGTTGCACATAATTTCTTATCAAATTGGAACACAATTCATGCTGAAGATTTTAAGGAAAAAAAATCAAACTACTTGCGTTTGAAATAACAGTGAAAAACTACAGGATTCTCATTGCAAAAGAAAGAAAAAGAATATAATATCTCACAAATTTGCCTAAAATATAAGGACTTGCACGACTAAAAAACCATTTTGAATTAGTGTACAAAAGCAAACACGACCATATGAAGTGAACAGCATATTTGTATATTGCTTCAAAATATTAATAGCTTTGCAAGTGAGTCTCCAGAGCCCGAGCAACCAAAAAGGACGATTTCCACAAGACAAAACTGTTTATAAAGACCAAGGATGAAAGAGTAGAGAAGTACCTTCACAAAGGTTCTGGGTGGTGGGTTTACTTGGTCAACATTTTCAGAAGACTGCAAGAAACCCGATTCATCCACACAACTTGAAGTCGTCATGTCTGGATTAAGTGGAAAATCAGTGCTTGAAGCACTATGGAAATTTGAAGCAGCAAATGGCATTGACAATGGATCGCTTTCATTGCTAATATTTTTCAGGTTTGGCATCCCATGCTGCATCATAAGAGATGAGGAATCAATGCTAACCCCAAACAAAAGATTGCTTTGGGGATCAGTTGAACCATGGTAAGTATACTCCCTTCCAGGAAAAGGAGGTAATAGATTAGCAAGCTCAGAGACATTTGACTGTGCTGTTCCCATTTGTTCAACTGGGGGCAGAACACAATGAGAACCTCCTGAAGGAAGTTGTGACTCAACTGAAACTTGCTTATGCAATAAGGAGGAAGATGAGATAATGGAGTTTGATCCATTCAAGTTAAGTAAATGTGATCCTCCATCCTGGGATAATGAACCTAAGATCCTATTCATTGAGGAAACATCAGATGCGCCTATAGGGTTCCCAACAGGCTCAGAAAATGTCTGCTGCTGGCACTGTGAAGGAATTGCAGGCAGAGATGAAGACTGAGCTTGACAGGACGATGCAAGGGAAGAAAAGGCAGGGATAACATTTGGGATCTGCTGTGCAACAGACAACTGTTGGAGTTGCTGTGTCTGTTGTGCCTGCTGCTGTGGTTGTCGCTGATCACTGTACAGATTTCGACGCTGCAATTGCTGCAGAAGCTGTGCCTGAGCAGAGGCCTGGTTCTCCTGTAAGCTCTGGAGGAAACTATTTTGAGTCTGGGGCTGCTGTAACATCTGCCTCTGAATCAAAGCAGGAGGCCTTGTGGATGCACTTTGGGGTTCCTGGAACTGCAGAAGAGCTTGAGAAGCTAATTTAGATGGATCCATTGTCCTCATTTCCTGAAATGAAGCAGTGGCCATTGCTTGGTATACATCAGGTTGCATGCCCGGCAAGGAAGAAGCATCAAATCTTGGCTGCATCCAGGGTGCAATGCCAAATCCTTGGAAGTTCAAAGATTGAATACCTTGATCTCCAATGCCACCTTGAAGCCACAGCAGTTGGGAATTAATGCCCATATCACCATCTTTGAGACCTGGAAAAGGAAAATGAAGTGGGTCCAAAAAAAAAAGAGAAAAGATCGTAAACAGAGAAACCTAGTTCCAAGAATAGTCAACAATTTATTGCATGTAGTGTGTAGCCTTAAAGACCCCAAGAATACCATGAAAGGAGGGCAATGCAGACGGCCATGGTCGCTTTAGTCGCAATGGGAAGGGCGATGGATACATAGGGAATGTTGTTAATGGTTCAATCTCCCACAAGGATACTCTTGGCTGCCTCTCCCCGGCAGTGGATTCATCCCAACCAACCTGCATTTAGCAGAATAAAGCAACCACACCAGAGGGAGATGAATGAGTTTAGAATTTTTAGCTAAAAACTCAATAAAATATTAACGCAATTCTAAATTAATAACATTGCAAAAACATAGCATTTTCCAAAAACCTTAACAGAGCGCCAATATGAGTTTGGCCAGCGAACAGGATCCAAATCACTAATGCAAGTTATCGTACCCATGTATCTGGGGAAAAAAAAGAAGAAGAAGAAGAAGAGAGCTCTGGTAAACAAATTGTCTTCCACTTGCTATTGCAAATGTAGTCACAGTTATAAATTATAAAATCACAGCATTGATTGAACACTTTAGTCCCTAAATCATTACTAAATGCAGAAAATACATAGACAATCAAGACCTACCGACGGACACTTGACTCTTCAGTCTCAAATAGCATCCTAAACCGCATTCCAACAGAAACTCGAGTGTGATATACCGCTTTAACATACTTGGCAAGAGGTATAACAAATTCTGAAGGACTAGCCCTGTAATCAAGGAGACATAAATAACCATGCTCTTATATTGTAAAAACATCAGAGCTTTGATTCTATAAGGTGGTTCACCTAGGGTTATAGAATATTGTAAAACGGCTATTGGTGGAGGCTGCATGAGCAGCTGCAGCAAGGAGACCAATGTGCATGCTGTCACTTGATAAAACAGAAGAAGGCATGACAGTTTGCGGACGACTTGCTCTTCGGATACCCAACAACAGCTGATTCTTCTCATTCCTGGGAAGGAAAAAAATCATATACCAAAATAAAAACTTAAACTGCAACACAAGTTTAAGGATTAATAGCTGGGGAGAGGAAGCCAGATAGAATAGCCTAATTAGCTACACCATATGATGCAGGTAAGGATGGAAATCATACACTATTAACATTATATTATGATTACGAATATATATAGGTATTAAATTGTAATATTTGCAAGTAATTTATATTTATTAGGATTTCATATCTTTCAATAAAGATTTCTACTAGGATCCTAATTATGGTTATAAGCTTAGGTAGTATTAGGATTATGCAGTTTTGAGATGAATTGAAATTGTATTCTAAAAATCCCCAATTCTGTTATTCTCTTCTTACCTTTGCCACTATTCCTATTATCCAAAAAACCCTTTCTTTATCCTTCATCCTCACATTTATGAAGCAAGTGAAGAGAGTGATGCCACTCTATAGTTCACTTTAAAGGGGAAAAAGGAAAGGAAGCTCTCTATTAGAGAACAAAGATTTGATGGAACAGTAAGAGGAGTTCATTGCACTGTAGACCATTCCATGAACATTCAACAAATCCACAGCCATACAAGTTCCCATAACTAACATCAGTGATAAGCAGGATACTTCTCCAAGCCAAAATCATACATCGAATGCAGGAACGTGATCATTTTTAAGGTAAGGAAATATGGTTACCAAATGAAGAGAACTGAATCTCCGGCAACAAGTCTCTTTGCACTAACAAACACACTCCATCCAGTTGTAAGAAGATGCCTCTTAGGCTGGCCTGCATATGCAAAAAGGAGAAATTAATTGGAGGTTAAGTTTGCATCCATCAAAATTCCAAATTTTCATGAAAAGAATGACCGCCTCTATCACAACATAAAATGATGGCTTAGGCAGCATCCTAGAGTAATCACAAAATTTTGGTGACCATAACTGGAAGGGAATGGGACATAGTTTCTAAAAACAATAATGTTAATAAAGGCCAGGAGTCCAGGACTACATATCCAGATCAATTTGAGAAAAATAATGGCTTATGTTTGATGTTTGACGTTTGGTGTTGGGTCACCAAAAAGAACTTAGTCAAGTTGTTAAAAACTAACTTCAAAACCTTTATCATGGGCTCAGAGTCCAGGATTTAGGCCTTTGCAACAGCTAAGCGCACTAACTTCCTCGTGCACCAACAAGATCACTGGGATTAATTGGGGAACTTAAAAGTAGTATTAGCCTTTTGGGTCATATCAGTAATTATTGAGTGCTTTAAATTTAGTTTTGATTAGGTACTCTTGAGTAATTTTTTTTAAGTTTTATTACTATTATTTTGACCTTTATTTGAGGTGAAGAGAAGTTTAGTACTGAGGGAGAGAGATTTAGTATTTACTTCCACATAGAAAGTCCAGGTCCCATCTGGATTAGGATACCTAGAAACTCATTCTCCGTAATGAACTAGAAGCTATAAGAATTTTACCTTCTTTCAATAATCAGGTCACAAAAGAATTTCTTTCAGTAATTGTACTCTTAGGGTAGAGCAGAAACAGACAACCTTAGGAGTCACTCCTAGGGAAGCCGAGGTGCAACGCCTAGTATTTTCTTCCTTTTTGCACTTAGACCCTAAATTTCAAATCTCAGCAGTGTTCCCTCTCACATTGAACCCTAGAAAACCACCTTCACAAGTCCAAGCCCATATCAATTAACCCTCAAAACCCCAACCCAGAAACCCAAATTTCTTTTAACATATATCAACTACAGCACCACAACATCCTCTTAGAAGCTGCCTAAACCCTTTAGTCTTTCACCCTCCTTCACTCAACCAAATCCTATGACAATACAAACCCTAGCTAATTAAAATTTTCCTCCTTTTACTTTCATTACACCTGGAAAACCTTAAATCTAGCACAGTTCCCTCATGCAGATATTACCTAATCTGTCCACGTGCGTGATGATTATAGCTTTTGCTCCTTTCCCTGTTTTTGCACTGTGAATTCAAAGGCAGAATATCGACGTTCCTTGGAAATGATCATTTTCTTAGGAATCACTTCAATTCAATTATCAAGATGAGGCCACTTATCTCCACTTAAGATCACAACTCACCTTTAACCTAAAATGACCACCCCCATAGCCTGAGATGCCAACAGACCTTCTCCAACATCTAACCTGTGGTTTCCCATTGATCAAACCTAAAGATAGGGAAGCTTCTTGAGTTTTGTCTAGGCAACCAAGATGTACTCAATCCATTCTGCATATACTAATCTTTTGTAGGTCTAAAGTTCAAATCATTAACCATCCCTACTCTACTAATTGCAGCAACCACTCCTGGGTCCCATCCACAAACAGGCCAGGCCAACACTCCCTGGGCTCTGATAAGTTGATAACATATCAATTTGACATGATAATATCACCTTCTTATTTCTTGAACAAGATATTTACACTCGAGTTATCAAGAACCAAAATGAACTTTCTAATCTTACATTATCACCACACATGCCTTATCACCTAGCAAGGTGTTAAAACGTGTTATGAGATAGTAGCAAACATGCATAAATGGTGACCAAGCTAATTATGGTAATAGATCTTAGAGTTGATTTGGAATTAATGTAGACTGATTAAGGATTTCTAGGTAAGTTGGTCACTTAAGCCTATATAAAGGCTCCCTTCTAGCTTTTGCTTGTCTTAATTTTCTTAACAAAATGCAAGCATCACTCATGAAAAATCATGCCTTAATAGCAAAATGCTCTTCCACACTCCACTCCGCGCCCAATAAGAAGATGGAAGTAAAATAAATTCACTAAGATGAAGTTACAATAAAGAATACACTTGCCAACAACTGAACAGTTCACTCCAACCAAACTCTCAGACTCCCAATGATCAAATTATTGTGCGATGTGATTTTACTTTTCCTTCAATTTTTCACTATTCCTTTAAAATGATAAAATTTCTTTTTTCTTTCTCTTTTTGTGAGTGAATTAACCTATTGGCCTTCAGGCCTACCTAAGGGAAAAAAACAATGAAAATCAAAGATTAAACCGCAATTTTAGTCCCTCAACTTTGGTATGAACCCTTGTTTATAAATCCTTTTTTTTTTTGGTCCTAAGGTTTGAAATTCCAGCTCTTTTTTTGTCCTTCCATAAACTTTTTGACCACATGGCATGTTAATAATGGAACAACCTTCTTTTTTTCTTTATAAAAATGATGTGTACAATACAAGTGGATGAAAAATGATGATATGGATAAAATTATGGGTTCACATTAACTTTTTAGGCAAACATGTGGGTACCAACCAATTATTCAAATAATTAATAACCTTCAAATTTAATTAACTCTTTACTAATTTTAAATTTAGCTTTAATAGGAGTAAAACAATAATTAACAAAAAATATATATATTAAGAAAACCCAAATTCTTATTCTAGGTTCTCAGAAGAAACCACATATGGTTGATGTTCTTGCAGGTGAAGAACCCAAAGATTTTTGGGATGACATTGCATCCAAAGTACACAATCTCAATTCAACAGCTCTTTAAATAAACAATATGACACCAAGCAATCAGCATAACCTCACTTAGTCATTTAATCAAACACCTTATGTGCATAGTGAGGGAGGATATTGATCTACCAGACTCATTGTCGAAAAAATTAAAGGTTCCACAACTCTTTCCCCAAAGCAACTAAGTCAAGAAACATAACTCCAGATATAGACTTACGCCATCTCAAAAACCCAAGCCACCAAAAGTGAGAAATATCAAACCCAGTTCAATTAATCAAGCCCCTAGTTGAGCCACATCTTAGTGTTATTGTTCAACTTTAGTTTCATTGGGTTTCTAAGTCTTGATTAAAGATCTCATCTTACCTCTATTATTGCGCCACACCAATTTTTGCACAAAGTTGCTACTGACACAAAAAATGAATTAATAAATACTGAAAAACCAAGCCTAGCCATTTTTAATGAGAAAAAAAGGATAGAAAAGGTTTTCTACCCTTAACTACCGGAGGAAAAGTAGACAAAAAGAGAAGGGGGTCAGGAAAGATAGTGGTCACCAACAAATCTAAAGGAAGAGAAATGGGAGATTTGGATGATGCTTCCAATAAACGTCCTATGGCTTTGCTGGAGGAAGGGGTTGGAGATGATGGAGAGTGATGTAAAAGGAGGGGATTAAGGGTTTCAAGGGGTAGTGGATGAAAAAAAATCAAATTTGGGGGAGAGAAGATTAGGTTTGGGAAAGGAGAAGGAGATTCAGAGAAAGGATAAGGTTTAGGGAAGAAGAAAAGGATATTTTAGTCATTTAGGTTTTAAGTTTATTTTTCTATTAAATTATCCAAATCAACATTCTTTTTGGAAAATTATTTGAGAGACAATGCTTTTGTACAACTTTTTCATACTACCTTACACACCATTTAATCTTTTCACCCTACTATGACTTGTGATATTGTATTCATCCACTCATTTAATGACGTGGAAGTTGTATAAAAAAGTTGTACAAAAAGATTGTCTGCATATCATCATCCTTTCATTTTAAGTTCATTTTTCATATTTTTCATATCATCATCCACAATTTTAATTTTTGACAAGTCATTTTTTGTTGTCATTTAATAGGCAATTTATGCTAAAACTCAACTAAACGACCAAAAAAGAGCTAGAATTCCGAACCTTAAGCACCAATAAAGGTTTTATTTAGTTTAGGGACCAAATTAGAGGTCCGTACCAAAGTTAAGGACCGACACCAAGGCAATAAATGATTTGAACTGCTCGACTTGGACTCACGTTGGGCTCAACTTGACTCAAGCTAAAGTCGAGTTTGAGCTCGAAATTAAGCTCAAAAAATCAAGTCATAATTTAAATTTGACTTGACTTGGCTCAACTCAACTCAATTCAACTGTATTAAACATTAATTATATGTTAAATATTTAAAATTTTAATTTTATTTTAATTTAAATCTTAAATTAAATTTGAAAATTCAATGAAGCTCACAAGTCAAGTTCAAGTTTACAAATCAAACTTGACTTCAGCTCGCGATTTGAGTTCAAGTTCAAATTCATGAGTTGAACTCACAAGTAGCAGGTCAAGTTTGGGCTTGACATTTTTGAACTCAATAAAAATGCAAACATGACTTGTTACTGTAGCATCGAGCTCGAGCTAGAGTTCTAAGAAACGCAACTCAACTCTCAATTCATTTACAGCCAAGCGGCTCTTCTACCTCTATTCTCAATATTCTTTTCAATTTCGTTTTCTTTTCCTTACTTTTTAGTTGAGTGATAACTGTAGTTTGGCTACCTAGAGGATGCTACATGTTAAAGAGCTCATGAGACACAAAAACCCACAGCTTTCCACTTGTCTCTATTTAACCAAACATTATGAATACTGACAATAGAATGAGAATCTAAGACTGACAGTGACGATTTTCAGCACTGGATGACCACCATAACTGTAAATGGGTTCTGTATTTACAGCCAGAAGTTAACTCCCAGAGAAATGTATACAAGAGAAGGGAGCTATTATCAAAAAAAGACATACATACAAGGCAGTACAAAGAAAAAGAAGATAAGAATATAATGCAACATAATATTAAGACTAAAAGAAATTAGACCTTGCAGTTCTTTCTTTATTATCTCTTTCCTTCTCAGAAATTACCTCATTCTGTAATATTTACTTACTAACTCCTCTCCGTATAAAGGCTTACATATTAGCTATCAAGAATTCTCAGTGAATACTTAAATAGAAATATCAATGATCCAGACGCACAGCACCACCACTCTGAATGTAGGTTTACATATCAGCTATCAAGAATTCTCAACTCAGACTGGAATAGAAGTACCACAAACCCAAATATACTGGACCACTTATCTCCATAATCATGATATTAATTACCTCTTATAAACTGGCTTTTCAAACTTAAGGAAAAGAACAAAATCACCATAGTGAAGAATTGAAAATAGTTAACTAACTTGAAAGCTAAACTTCAACTTCGCTTGAATACTTGATGCAAATAAATGAATATCTAAATGTAATACCAAATAAAACAATCTGAACAAAATTCTTCAGATTCTGAGAACAAAATACCAGTTAAGAGCAAAGTTATTTTCAGGAAATTCACCTCGAAAGATGTGTCTAAATTTCCATTCATTATCATGAAGATCCCTAGCAATTAATTCTTGAGCAGGAGGCTGCTGGGTGTAATCCTGAATGAGCAATCAAAAATCAAATAATGAATAAAACCACATCAAACATTACAAGAAACCATCAGAAGAAAAGACGGTGAACTGAATTACTTAAGGGAAACATACAAGAGGAGGGAAGACTTTTTCCGCAGCCCGACGAGGAACAGAGAATCCTCCATGAGTGCTAGTATCACTAGCTGTCAGTGTTTTACAGAAATAGTTGGTTGGCTGTTTGCTGGGAGTACCCAGTTCTGCTGGAAATAGATATACATCCTTTTGCTCTTGCTACAAAAACGTTTTGAAATAGTGACTGAAGAAACAAAGAGTAGTAAACATTCAATTCAATTCAATTCGACCAAGTTCAAAGTTTATGTACCGGACTCAATGGTTGCAAAGTCATCTGGGCATATACTTCATCTGTTTCAACATCTGCCTGTACTTAAAAGAGTATCAGATACCATGAACAACCAAAATAACTCCAAGAATAAAAGTAATTTACACACAGCTTTACTTACATGCATGGTCACATTGTGAAGCTGACAGATAAGCTGTGGAGGTAAGCTTGGGTAGTTCGGGATATGAGCATCTATCTCCTTGTTAGTTGAAGCAGCAACCTACGAAGAGACCATAGACTATCAATCCCCTAAGAGCATTAAAAAGAGAAAATATGTTCTAAGCAAGTTCTCTTTTCCTTTCTTTTCTTTTTTTTTTTTTTTTTTTTTTTTTAAAGGAGCATTAGGAAGAAACTAATTCTAATTCATTAATATTGCAAGGCAGGTGAGCCACTAGCAGGGACCAGTGACTATGTTAACTGGATTAAAGAGCTTGAGTCAAGGATGGAGCATTTAATTGAATTCCTACTAGTTAAATAAAAGATAAACATCAATTTAAAAGAACATACTTGCCCACTCACCTGTTCACTATGACCTTGGGGAAAGTAGACAACTCGACTTCCAACAGGGGGCAGGGAGACTAGAGGGCCGGCACATGCATGCCAAAGTTCAGAATTCAAATATTTTTTCTCCCCTAAACAAATTTCCAGTACAAGCAAGATTTTAGTCAAAAATCAAATTTGGAAAACTAGAATTCTATAATTGAATGGAAGAATGGTTATACGGGGGATAAAAGTTTCCAGACAATATCATCCGGTAATTTGGTATCAAAATATCATCAATTCATTTGTAGGATTCAAGTACCAAAGCTTTATCTCTCCAAATATAAGAAAACCCAAATCATAGGCAAGACAGGCAAACCAATCGGCAATAAGTTACAACTGAGTTTACACTAGTAGAAACTTAAACAATACAGCATAGAAATTATAATGACACTTAAATATCAAGGGTTTAAATATGGTATCCAAACATCATCAGTTCATTAGCAAGATTCAAGTACCAAAACTCTATCTCTCCAGATATAATAAAAACCCAAATCATAGGCAAGACAGGCAAACCAATCAGCAATAAGCTACATCTGAGTTTAAACTTGTAGAAACTTAAACAATAAAGCATGGAAATTACACCGACACTTAAATATCAAAGGTTTAAATATGGTATCAAAATATCATCAGTTCATTTGTAGGACTCCTAGAAACTGAATATCAAGGGTTTAAATATGCTATTCCCATAAGCCGATTAAAAACCCCCCAAACAATCCAACTGCAATCACCGAAACTTTACTTTTCTAGAAAAGAAAAACAAACACAAAAGGAAACTTGATTCCATTCTAAGTAGGTCACAAATAGAAAGAAAGCATTCATTAAGAAAATACATGAAAACCACAACCATTACAAAGAGTAGAGAACTTACCTTCCTGAGGTTGCTGATTGAAACCAGCTGAAGAGAGTCTCATGCTTCAAAAATCTAAAGGATCACTTTACCCAAACCAGTACCCACGTTACCCCAAAAAGAAAGTTGCAAAACTCAACAAAAAAAAACAAAACCTTCAAAACTTCAGTACCCTTCTTTACACAAGCACATTTACCACACAAGTTCCATCCATAGCTCAACGTATCAGCAGCACCTACCCCCCACCCCCCCTCCCCCCCAAAACCACACAAGAACTTCAAAATACCAAATGGAATCTCATGCAAAAACCTCTTCCACTACCAACCAATCACCATCACTCTTCTCACTTCTTCAGATCTTCTTCACCGTTAACCAAACCCAAAACCCTAGTCAAACTCCAAAAAAGAGAAAGAGAAAAATTAAAATCCCCAATCCTCCCTCAAAACCCTAGCTCACCAGATCTCCAATTAGAGCTGATTACGGTCCTTCCTTCCACTGTGCAGAGTACATACCGTTCCAAGAGCAAGATTGATGAAGCTCACTGAGCAGAGAATGACACTCACTTTTTTTTTCTGAATTTTTTTTTTTTAAAAAAAGAAAATTTTCCTAGAGGTGAAGGAAAAAAAAAAAAAGGTAGGCGTCGACAAAGCGCTTTCCTGGTCTGGTCTACTGAGATGAATCCCCAATCAATTAATATTACGCACAGTTGTCATAATTATTTATTATTGGGCGCGGGAGTACCCACGCTGCAGCTTGTACCGTGAAATCTAGTAGTCTCTAGTCTACCGTAACTCTACATATTCTTCCCCCAATATGATATTTTTTACGTGGGGCCTATGGAGGAATGGTCCTAGTGTATTGGAGGCCTTTCACTTTCGAACTTGCTCCAGTTTGAAGAGGAAATAAAAAGGGTAAATTGCACTGACCCAAATGTGTTTTGGGTTGGTGTACTTAATTCTTAAAATTATAAAAATGTGCACTTAATTTCTTAATTGATAGTGAAGGTAATTTGGTTGTAACCTTGAGATGCATGTATCGTTTTATAGGTTATGTATTGTTTTATAAGATACCTTAAGATATGATTCTTATAATATACTTAGTTTTAGAGGCAAATGAAAGAGGAAAAAAGGAATTTTCCTTACCTTACATTATTTGAATAAGTAAAAGAATTAAAAGAAAAAATAATATAATAATATGTTTGATTTAAATAAAAGAGGGAGAAAGGTTCTAGAGAGAGAGAAATAAAAGTCAATTTTTTTTATTTGTAGTGATTTCTTCTTAAGTAATGTTTTAAGTTCTAGTTTTGTAATTGAAGAAATATATATTAGAGAGTATTCTCATTTATGGAGTCCAATGAAGGTTTTTTATGGGGTCCAATACAACTTGATTCCAAATTAAATAGGATTCAATATGATCATCAAATATTAAGAAGTTAATATATATATATATATAAAAAAAGTAAAATTCTTTTATTTATTTAACAAAAAAATCTAAAAGGGATAGAGGGCTTATCCAAAAGGAGATGAGAGGAGAAGGACACATCCTTCCATTTCCTCTCCCTACTCTCCGTCTCATTTTTTTTAAAATCAAATAAACTATAAATGATTTTTCTCCTTGCTAATAATTTAACCAAATAAAATAGTTTTCTCCTCCTCTGTCTTTCAAACTAAACATTCTATTAAAATTAAATAATTAAGAAAATTAATTTCTTCAAATGTTTTAGATTAATGTAAGGGTGTATACTTGAGATTGCTTACAAGAATAAGTTTTAAAATATTCCTAAAATGCTCCTAAGTAGGGATATGAAAAAACCATGATAATCCAAACCACGAAAAAAAAAAAAAACTGATATAGTTATATCTGTGAAAATGCAAAAATTATTTGTTAAGAATCCAACACTTAACTTATGAGGGATACTGCTAAAAAAAACACCATATATGATATAGCCACTCATTGACTTGAAGGTTTTAACTTCCATTTCGACTATTAAGTAATCATGAAGAACTAGATAGGTTCACTAGCCTTTGGTTTACAAAACAGTATAGCTTTCGTTTATATGACTAGACACATGATAAAACCTATTTCTACATGGCATTCATCCCAAGTCTGGAAAGGTAGAATATTGAGGAACATCCTTTGTCCCATTTTGTATAAAAATAAAAATAAAAATAAAAATAAACCTTAGTGCCTTTTTCACAGAAGCTTTAGCGTACCTATAACATTTATTTGTTTGTCCTTGGTTTCTTAGAGGAAAATGAAAAGTTAAGCACATAGAGAATAATATTAATAAGCCATATCTTTTATGTTTTGACTTCAAAATATTTGGAAGAAAAAGCAAGGCATGGGTTAAAAAAAGATATATAGCAATAGAAAGATGCTAATAAAAAAAACAATAGAAAGATACATGTACAAGAAAAGGTTAAAAAAGAATAGTAGGGAGGAGAGATTAAAGAATAAAAAGTAATAAAACAAATAAATTATTAATATTGAGAGGGATTTATAAAGATATATATATATATGCACACCCAAACACATTAAGATAATATGAGAGTTAAAATGAAATGGATTGAAAAAAGTAATGAAAGTGTAAAATAATGTGAAAAAATATTAAAAAGTAAAGGTGAAATGGATTCAAAAAAAGTAATGAAAGTATAAAATAATGTGGAAAAAAATCAGTTTAAGAAAAAGAAATAAGGAGAGACACATGCATCAAGTTAAGCCTAAATTAAAATATATAACAATAATATAAATACATGATGATAAAACAAACAAGAGAATTGAAGGTATTTTATAGAAAAATATGAAGAGAAATATAGATTTAATGTAAAAAATTGAGAAAGATATAGCATGTAAATATATAGGGTTAGGAGATAACTAAGGAGGAGATGATAGAGGAGAGAGAAAATGACATGAAACAATTTATCAATATAGAGACCAAAAGTAGATAGAAATTATTGACAAATTTTCATAATTTATTAATATAGTAATAAATTATGAAAATTTTCTATATTTTTTAAAATTAAATTACTTAAATTTGTACACTTTAATCCTTTTTCATACCTAGCTAGCATTTAGACTTTTTTAATAAATTAATAAACTAATTATTAAAAAAATACTCTAAAATATATTTATAGTTAAGTATTATTATAAAAATTTATAATTACTTAAAATTTTTAAAAAATAAAATAAAATAAAGATGAACATGTGAAGCGCAACTTTAAGGTCTACTTATATACAAAATATATTTGTATTATTGTGGTTAAAAAAATAGTACTCCATAGTAGAGTCTACATCTTCAATTCACTCTAGATATTAAGCAAAAACCTAAGGCTTCATATCTAACTCATTTAGTTAAATAAAATAGTTGATTAGTAAACTTGAAAGCTAAAACTTAGTTTAAGGCTAACTATATGAGTATGTTTAGCCTAATTAGTATTGAATTCAATAAAAATTCTGTTTGGTTTATAATTTCCATTAATTTATAAAAATATAAAATTTTTATGTAAAGGAAAATAACGACTGCTGCAATATATAACGACTTAACTACACTAAACATAATTAGAAAATATCATAAGGTCTCAACCTTTGTCACTTAATGAACAAGGTCATTGGCATGAAACTTTTGCCACCTAAGAATTTGATTAGCGCATTATTCAATTAGTCCAAAGTCTAAAACTTTACTTTGGTGCCATAATTCCCTGAGGTTTCTCTCTCCATGCCTAGTTTAAGTTTTCATCATCACAATCACCATCTTCCCTTAAACTTATATAGATTGATACATAAAACTAAATATCAACAACTTGCCTACTCCTCCAATACTAGAATTTGGAATGTCGAAATCACATTTCAAATTAATAATGAAGTTTCAAAAACAAACAAAGGCATCTATTGAATCTCACAAACAAATGCCTTTTCCTTTTCATCCCTCTATAACAAGAAACCAAATTAATTTACTTTTTCTTTCTCAAATTTTCTAGTAATATTTTGGCAGATCTATTTTTAAATTTCTTGGTTATTTTATTCTATTAAAATCAAGTAAAATTCTATCTTTCCTAACTTTTATGTTATCTAAATTGTTGCCTATTAATTATAAAACTTTAATTTACAATTAAACTTAAGGGATGAAAAGCAAACCTAACCTTGTAGCTAAGAGTATGGTTAACTCTAAGCACAAAAGTGATGGTTGATTGTGAAGTTCTTTTAGGTAAAAATTAACACAATTGTAAATCGAAATAATTGATTTGCTAAACTTTCATCTTTCATTAGAGTATTGATGACTTTCATTTTTATTAGAATATTGTTGACTTAAACATTAAAGGGCATACCACAGAGACTTTAGTGTGCCTATAACATTTATATACTTTTGTCTTTGGTGTGTTGATCTAGCTTCCTAGAGTGACTTCTAACATTGCAATTCAAGAATAAATAACATAATATCATCAATGACATGTCAAGCAATTATACCATGCATTAACATACAAGATAGCATAGTTATCAATCAATAACATTGTATAGTGCTTACACCTTTGACAAAGTCGTTCCTAGACAAATCTAATTTCTAAAGGTCACCACCTCATTCTAAACATTTATCCTATCACCTTCCTTTTTCACTACCCTAGTAAGAGTCAACATTATTTCACACATTCTATTTTATTAGAGTGTTAGAATTGATGTGCTTAAATTAATATTTATAATTTATTAAAAATATCTTTTTACATGATATTCACTATTTATAGAGCATTAGTTTTTATTTATATTGTTATCATATGATAGTTATATAAAAATAAAATCTAGCGATTATCCATGCTACTAAGTGTCATAATTGATTTCATTTAGGATATTTTTCAAAGTTAAATGAAAAACGAAAATGAAAGAAAAAATTAAAAAATTAAAATTTGGAAAATTGCAAAGATGCAAAAAATATTGAAGTTAAATAAAAATAAAAATAAAAAATGAAATTAATTAATTTGTTTTATGTCTTTTAAGATATAATTACCTAATTAAAAGAAGAGATAGACCAACTAAAGAGAGGTGAAAAACCTCATAACTTAATTGGCAAAAATGTGAAAAAATATATAAACTCAAGCCTAGTATGAAGACCAAAATCAAGTAAAAAACTCAAATCCAACCAAACAAAAAAACCAAAAGCCTTTAAAATAGTGTTAAACCTACAAAACAAATCCTAACCACTTTCATGCCCAAATTGAACAAACCATATATCTAAACTACACAAAAATGGATCTAAACCATACAAACTTAAAACTTGTAGCTTGTTAACCTGATGAACCCACAAGCCCCAAAATGTCATTGTTTCGTGAATTCCAAGTGAAAGCTTAATCCCCTTCCTTCTCTAATTTGGATTATGCTATATACATTCTTATCAACTTACTTTCATGATTAGTCTTTAATCAAGAGGAATATTCATAACTTAATGCCCTAATCTCATATTGGAAAAAGTGTGAAGACCAATAAATACTAACAATTTGAAGTTAAGCTTTTGAGGACATATAAACCATGAATTTAAAGAGTTATCAGGCTAGTGGCAAGTAGCATCTTAAGTTGTTTCAATTGATATTAAAAAAGTTCCATTGTACAAGTGAAAGGCCATGCTGGGATACCTTAATACAGACTGT